CACAAAGATTGACGAATAGGACGAGACCTGGTTGAGCTGCACTAGAGAAGGTAACGAGTTAGGGATGCACCGAATGTTCGGCAACGGAAATTATTCGGCCGAATAAGCAAAAAGACAGAATAAATTGTACCGAACAAAGACGTGACGCGATCAAATAGAGGCGCGCGCTAATGCAGCAAACATGACGGCAGTGTGGAAACATTTAAAGCTGTCTGAGAAAGACGCAAAAATCATTACAAGCACCGACAGCGAGAGACTGTTTAGTACTGCATCGCATGTCTTCGATGAGAAGAGAAAGGGTGGTTGTTGCTGGTTACTCTGATGATTAAAATCGTGAAATGCCCTTAAACAATGAAATAAACTGCAGAATTATGTTTTCTAATACATGCAGGAATTGCACATGCACATTGCACTGCAAGAGCTCGCGGCGGCAGGGTTCAAAGTCCAAAGCGCGAGGGGAATCTGCGCTGTTACTCATCAGCTGTTCAGTAAAATTTGGAATTTTTACAAGGCATGTGACAATGCGATACATGCAACAAACGTCTTCCCAAATTCGTAATGAGAATCGTTTGTCAACAAAAAGAAGCACTGAGGTCTTCCTGCGGCTTTCTGCCAAAATAAAAGTGAAAACAGGAACGTGAAAAACCGTGTTCGGTATTCGGTATTTCAGAAGGCGGGCCTTCATTTGATACAGGAACTATTTGAGCCGTTCATGCCAGACTGGGGAGAGAGGTGTTGTAGTAATGTAAAATATGTGAAAAATAATGTGTTTTTCGAACAACCTAGTATGAGAGCATGTTCTAGTACACCCCAAAACAAAATGAAGACTTTGTAAAAGAGCATAATAGGAGCCCTTTAAAGGGTTTGTCATCTAACCTAGCTGTCATCAGTTACTCATCCTCATGTCCTTCCAAACCCATAAGACTTTAGTTCATGTTCAAGAAATGAAGACAACCCGAGATTTGTCTGTTACTCCACTGAAAGTCTAAACAACTGAAACTTTCTTGCTCTAAAAACTCTAGAAAAAGATTGTAAAAGAAATCCATATGAATCACGCATCAAGAAAGCACATTTGAGCCTCCGTTTACCATATTCAGTGTGCTCTATGTATGTGCACTGATCAATGATTATATATAAATAAAAGCTGAAATTAAACATGTTCATCATATAAAACAATTCGCTTCAGAAAACTTGGATTAACCTGCTCAATTGATATAGATTTATTTTATGATCTCTTTTGAATTTTTTTTTAAAGCGTTGAGCTGACTACAGATTCAATGTTCACTTTCGATAGTAAACATAAGAAAATATCGAAAATGCCTGGTGAAATAGAAACTAAGGAACTGAAATTGTAGTTGCCTGTTGTTTGCCGGTTAGCACAAAATGAAGATGATTATGGAATTAGATTGAACATGAAAGAAATGCATATAAATTATAACAAATAATATTATATGCATGACACAGATATTTTGCTTACTCACTTCAGCATGAAAGATGTCAGCTCAAAAGGTAAAGCCACACCTCCATATCTGCTCCTCCTGGATCCACCTATCACATGTACTGCCTGTGCCTATACTCGATTGCACATAAAACGCTGTAGGATGTGTGTTGCACCATAATCTTACTGCCAACAAGCATGCCTTAACATGTCTTAGATTTATGACTTGGACCGTAATCAAAGAGTCACATTCTTGTCATACCAATCTACATTGTTCTCACCTTGTTCTCACGGTTTCACAGATACTCATTAATGTGTGTGTGCATTAGGCTTGGTTCTGCTTTCAGGACATACTGTTAGCATTCCTGCAGGGGTTACTCATGTACCTGTTAAAGGGTGATGCAAAATCATGCCATCTGACTGCATTGACTGCAGCACACCCTCTCTATTCGCCATTCATGATGAGGTCAGCGTGGGTCATGTTTAAACTACCTAAGGTTGACAAAGGCGTGCCTGAGGAAGTGCATGAGAGAAATTATATTTACTCTTCACTGTGCATTGACACAGAAGTTCACTTTTATTCTAGATTGTTCTCATAAGATGGTAAACGTTCTGTAGTATTGTACAGTACAGTGTGTTGGATTAGTTTTTTTGGGTTAGGCGAGTTTTGCTCAACTTGAGCTTGACTGTCATATTGCTGTTGAGTATTTTTTTTCACTGTTTGTTACAGTCAAACATCAAATTATGTGGTTTGTATGCAGTTATTTTTCTAAGCAATAATTTTTTTATCATGTTTTTTAGAATCATTTTTTACAGAATTGTAAAAGTCCAGTTGTTAGTTCGATAATTAATAATAAACCAATATAACTATTGGAGAAATTGTAATCATCATTATTATTATTATTAATGATGTTGTTTATCATAGATTTGTGCATATATGAGGTGTTTTTGGGTATCTGTGTCAAGTGAGTTCTAGACTCGACTTGTCATGTGCCGCGTCACTGTTTGTGATAACCCCTCTGCTCTGGAACTGCTGGTCTGTTATCAGCCCCCACCACTCCCATCACCCCTCCCTCACACTTACGAAATCAATTCCTATGAATTTCATCTTGTTCCTATGTAAATCACTCTGCTTTTTTACTTCATTGCACACATCTATGCAACGGACATCTCCTTGACTACACCTGTCACACATTTCATATCCAAACACTCTCCACCTACTTGACTGTCTCTTACTTCTCCTCATCCAGCTCTTTCAGGCTCTTTGTCAGTTAAAACAAAGTACCTGTCAATAAATTTGACCGCTCCACCCCAGATTATATAACCAAGGCTTATCAGTTGTATTTCGATTGTCCATTGTCCTTCCATCAGACACTCATAATATTTTTAGTGCATTGATGAAAAGATATTTGTAATGATTAAGAATTCACAATCCAGTTGCTAGAATAGATTATGATGAGTATTAATATGCAGAACTATGGAGACGAAGCACTGGAGCTGTGACCTAGGGGTTAAAGGGTTAGTTCACCCAAAAATGAAAATTCTGTCATTACTCACCCTCATGTTGTTCCAAACCCGTAAGACCTTCGTTCATCTTCAGAACACAAATTAAGATATTTTGATGAAATACGAGAGCTCTCAGATCCTGCGTAGACAGCAATGCAACTGAAATGTTCCCACACCCAGAAACGTAGAAAGGACATCGTTAAAATAGTCCATGTGACATCAGTGGTTCAACCGTAATTTTTTTACGAAGCTGCGAGAGTACTTTTTGTGTTATTCTCCTTCGCGTCACCCTAGGATGCCATTATAGATTATCACGACAAATGCGTGTACGTTCCTTTGCATGTAAACAAGGCTTAGCATTGTTTATGTGCAGAGGTACTCTTGATAATTGCGGAAGACGTGATTTGCGCACAAAAAGCATTCTCGCTGGTTTGTAAAATTACGGTTGAACCACTGAGGACTGTTTTACCGATGTCCTTACTACGTTTCTGGGCCTGGGAACATTTGCATTGTTGTCTATGCAGGGTCTGAGAGCTCTCGGATTTCATCAATAATATCTTAATTTGTGTTCTGAAGATGATTCTTAGTGGTTTGGAATGACATGAGTAATTAATGACAGAATTTTCATTTTGGGTGAACTAACAATTTAACACATTCTCTGATTTACTGAACTGCTATGCATATGAAACTATATGCAGAGTTTGAGTCAAGCCTGTGTCACAAGACTCACAACTCAATCCCATATCCTCTTCTCCCCATCATTTCTTTTCCATCTCCTGATTGTGCTTTTTACTTGGCAATAGCTGATAACTGGTTAATATATTTGGTCTGCTTGGCCATATACCAAAGTTTGTTCTCAGTGTTTTATAATATATTTTCGAATTTTAACTTGTATAATAGTATCACATAGACTAAAAATATATCCGTATTACACCAGCCATCAGCCACCTGCCCCTTTTTACTCTGAAAAATCCCAAAATAAACAGTCAAATAAACTTCTTCCTGCTACATGCTGTGACATCTCCTCCTGTTTTGTTTCATTGTAAAGAGAAACGCTAATAAATGACTGATAAGTGTTGCAACAGTGCGCATTTTGAACTCGTCGGATGGTTTCATTTAAGTCCTCCACAATCTTCTTCCCATATTTTCAAGCTTGTGTAGATAACTAGGGCAAAGGGAAAGACTGGAGGATGACATCAGTCTTCTTGAGTGGAAAACAGGGGTGGGCGTCTGAGGGTTGTGTGTGTGTGTGTGTGTATGTGTTGTAATTGGCTACATGCACAGAATATTTTCGGCTTGATCACTGCATTGCTCTAATACCTTTGACAAAAATGCGATACCAGTGAAACAAATTGTATCGTCTCTGAATCCGAAGATCCAACTGAGAAAACGTTGAAGAAAAAAAATGCTTCTGTCCTAACAGAAATTGTCTGGGTTATATGAAAGCATACATGCTTATGAGTCATATTAGATTTTTACTGCAGTGCTTCGGTTGAGTTATTTCAGCCTCCGTCTGGAGTTGGTGTGCTCTAATTCTGTGTGTTCCCTGAGGAAACAGGTTACGTTATAAAGCCTGAAATCCCCTTTCAGCTTTTCAGATAAAATTGGGCTTGCTACAGAATCCTGCTGAGAAATGAGGTTGGTGAAGTCTTAGAAACAGGCATGGTAAATCTCGCCCCCTGGTGGTCATTGTATGAACTCACTGTGCACACAAACTTGTCACAGGAAGGGTGGGATTATTGGAAGGCCTGGGGGGGAGGGGCACTGAAGGAGTTCAACGTTTGGCTGAAATGAGCTTGTCAGTTATTGGATGGTTGAGTGTGGTAATATTTTCCTCCTATGAATAGCTTGTGACAGTATTTGTTACAGTGCTTGAATGTTACCTTCACTGTACTACTGATGGGGCTGTGGTAATTGTTTATTTCAAGTAATTATTTTTTTAAGTGTTAACAATAACTCTTTTATATATGTGTTCATGTTTTTATAAAATTTACTGGTTTATGAGTGTTCCTATAGAAATAAATCTCATTCTAAGCTGTTTTTTGTGTGTGTGCAGGAACGCTTCGCAGAGATCTTTGGAAAAGATGCAGCGGCAGAGAGCAGAAAATCACAAGAAAACTTCAAGAAGTGGTTGCTGGCGGGAATGACCTTGCTCACGGGTGTCGTGGTCGGGTCACTCATTGCACAGAAACGCCTGTGAAGATCAGGATAACTGAAAATCCAAATACACCCACTGCTTCATTTAGACCTCCTACTAACATGAAGGAACTTAAAAAATACATTTGTTTCGGATTTATTTGTTTCCCTTTTATTGCCAAGAAATTTCATGTTTACATCCCACATCCCACTGTGTACTGTTGACTGAGTGGAGCACATCTGTGATGTGATATCACATGATCCAGACTGCATGAGGGTGATTTGCTTTTTAGCTGACTAGGATCAAGCTAACCCATCTCTCCTTAAACCCTGTTTAACAAAATGACAAAAAAAAAAGTCTAGGAAAAATGACTAAAAAAAGAAGAACATTTGCCCAAACCTTCATTCTTTGTGTCTGTAATTATTATTTTTTGTTGTTATAAATAATTATTTTCTGCTTTATCATCAGTCTTTTTAAGTATCATTATTATTCTCTCGTTTTCAAAGAGACTGGCAAAACTGACAAGGATACAAACATTTTATCTTTGAATCTAATTTAAGCTAATTTGTGATTCTTGAGTTAATGACCCAATGAGAGAGAGAAGTTGAATCCGAACTGAATCAGAAGCATTCAGTCATTAAATCAGCACTGACATTTCTAAGGAAAGTTGTTGCTGTCTGGAGTGCCAGATATCAGCTCGAGAACAGAGGCACACCTTTTTGGGCCCGGCACTACATTTGAGGGCCTGCTTCCTCTGTGATCTCTCTATCATTAGAGGACAGTATGGAGAACAGATGAAACATGTCTGTGTGTGTGTGTGTGTTTTCCCCCAATTATTGTTCTGTTATTTTTTCCCCATGCAAATTTGATGAGGGTTAAATGTGTGTGACTACCTGCATGGACAGGTTTGAAATCCTCTGGAGCATCTAAATTAAAGGACCAACAGTTATATGAGATTGTTTTGTTGTGAAAGAAAGTTCTGTATGTTCATTGCAGTTTGATGTTTGATTTATTAAACCTAACTTCGGCTTCAGATGAAACTCTTTATACCTTTGAGATTGTTGTAACTAGAGCTAGAGGAGACACCAATACACAAGAAGTGATGTATGTGTGGCTACCTTTCACTGTGTACACAGAAAATGTAACAGAAAACAGCAGAAAGAAATTAGACTTAACCATATTGCCACAAGAGTGCTTGGTGTCTTGTATGGTCTTGAGAATGAGGATATAACTAGAATACTGGGGACGGTTGCATAAACTGCTTAGACTAGTCTTAAAAAGTTAGCCATTTAATTAGTTTTCTTCTAAACTGGTCATAACGGTTTAAAGTCAGTTACAAAAACGTAGATTCGCCCAATTTTAATCAGAAAAGTGAGACTGATTATCTTAGCTAACTGCTAGTTGTTCACTAGTTCTTAAGACACAGTCTTAACATAGTGGCTATGTTTATGCAACCGGCCCCTGGTCTAGCAGGTGTGACAAGCTAATACTAGTCATTGAGTTTTTGTTTCACTTCCGTATGAAATGTCATTTGCAGTTGTTTTGTTGGTAAGCAGAAGTTTAAGACTTGCAGCACACTTAACTTTACAGAGCCAAGCTAAAATGCCAATCTCACATTCGGTCTCTTAGCATTCACATTTCCAAGTGTAAATGTTGCTTCAACACAGATATTTGAGCGTTCTTTGATTTGTTGAGTTGACCCTTACCGTGTAATGGTCCACAATGTTTTGAATCCTGGCTGACAGACATATATTAGGTAACATTAGGTCAGATAACATCATGGTGCTGCCGCAAAAAAACTAAAACCTTTGTGTTTGACTGAACTTATTTTTTGTAGCAAATTTTTTCTTCTTCAAATTACAATTCTTCATGCTTTTGGAAGCAAACCTCAGAATAGTTGGGATAAGTCTCTTCGTCTCCTCAGCTCCTGATTCCCGCCGAATCTCATTTTAAACGCTTTGCTGTCAGAGCGGTTAAGCGCACCTGCTGCTTTACGCTCAGCTCGTGTCAAACTTGTTAAAGCGTCCGGAGATGTGGAAAAATGATCTTTAGGCTTCAAACCATCATTAATTCAAATAGGACGTCAAGTTGAATATTCTTCGCCTTTTCTGAGTTGTAATGATTGACGAGCGGGTTAATTCAAACAGAAGCGATGAAAGCTATGGTGGTACAGTGTTTCAAGCCTTCAAGCCCAGCTGAGATCTTTTGGTGTGTCAATCAAAACATACCAATCATAAGCATAGCATCCTTTGAGACCTAACCCAGAAAAGAGACGTCTATAGTGTTCCGCGGATCGTTAAGCAGGTCTGGAATAAAGATGTTTAGCCTACTCCCTGATCCGCTCTCGGAAGAACTATTAAATGAAATTCCCAGAGCTCGAGTGTTTTGTCTTAAAGTCAGCATCGAATCAAAATGTACCCCATTGACGACTACATTTTATTGTTAAGATTCATCAATCTGTGTAAATCCAAACAGGAAAAAATCTTTTAATCTTCCAATTATAATGTAGTATAACATGCTTCGCTTTCTCTTTTCTTAAATACAGCCTTTCTGAAATATTGCTAATATTTTAATGATTTAATGCAGTTAATGTACTAAAAACACACTGCAATAATACATTTGAAAGTCGTTACAATCCGGATGGGATGGTTACTCTTTTCAACTGTCACGATTCCAAGTTCATTCAGAGGTAGGCCTACATCACACAGCGCAAGTCAAATGGGGTGCAAATTTAGTTTCATGTTGACTTCAAGTTTGAAATGAAGAAATTTGACAATTTTGACATTCAATCCAATAGCCCCCTTTTAAACGTCTAAGTTGCGAGTGAAGTGTTTAATAACAATGTACAAATTATAGTTGGTGAGTCTCAGCAGATTCAAATGGCCGACATTTACACTTTTTGCTGCTCTGTAGACACTGATTTCACACAATACATTCCGTGTTATGAAATTTGCTGCTTGCATGCTTCGTCTGTGTCTGTTTGTCATGTTGCAGTGTGTGTGTTTGTGTTTGTTTGAGAGAGATGCTGTGTGGTTACGGAGTTTGACAGTATGCTTAAGAGTGAAATGTACCAGCATTGGCACGACACTATGTATGACACTAAACTAACTTAAATGACAAATAGACTAGCTCATCATAGCTTAGTGAAAATATTTAAGGCATTTGATGATTTGAAAATTATTTATGATATTTGGTGTAAATGCATATTGTTCCTTCCTATGGCCTTAAACTCCCATTATAATTTCTTTTGACGTGTATTTGTTTCTTATTGTGTTTATATTTAGCCAACTTAACCTAAACAAGAGGACAAAAAAGAAAACTATTTTTTTAAGGTTTTGGGTTTATTTAAACAGCTTCACCCCTGAATAATTGTTTTATGTCTTAGGACTTTTTTAAATGTCTGATATAATTTAAATGAAATAAAAACCCTTTTGAATTCACAAGTCATCGCTTGTGGTTATTATGTGTGTTGAGTGAATACAACGATACACAAGATGTTATTTCAAGTTTTACTTCCGTCAGTCAAGAGGGAACACTTGTGATTCATTCAGTGTTGTGGACATTTTCTCTCTTGTTCAAATTTGACATGGTTGCCCATTGGATAATTTTCAAATGTTCACATAAAGGACGGCATAGTAATGCATGAAAACTGCCAAAGGAGAATTGCAGATAAGTAGCAAGGCTTTGATGTGTTGCTCACAGCTGCATTTCCTTTCATCTATTTCCACTTGCCCTTCTCATAGTCCCATTTGGCTGAAAAACCCTCCACAGGGTTCACCCGCATGTCCAGCATCCGCTTCACCTGCATAGCCTGCCATTCGTCATCAAGGGTATGAGGATGAGGGGGATACACTGAGAGAGCACAGAAGATTCACCTATTTTAATTCGGACATTAATCACTGAATTAAAAAACTAAAATGTAAGACGATCCCTTACCATAGTACCTTTGCCAGAGAACAACCAGGCCAGTGAACCCAATGAAGAAAAAGATGCCACCCAACACCGTCTTCCACTCACCTGTTGGTTTCTTCATCTCGGCATATGTCTCATTAAACATAATCCTGTACACTGCCACCAAAAACCACAGCAGATAAAGATTGCAACATACAGTATTTTAGTTTTTTTCCCCATGATTTTGTCTGTGCTTTGCCCTGTTAGATAAAAATCCTGTCCAATTGTTGACATATTTCTTGAAGTTGGGGTGGGACAAATCATAGGGATTGTCCTTTTTATTTTATTTAAATTAGCCAATAATGTACTTGTTATTGCTAGTCAGAGGTAGATGGTATGAAGGGGAGTATCTTAATTTAGTGAGCATTTAATAGAACATTAATTTGGACAAACCTATTAATGCATCGAGACATCAATAGTTTTGGTCCATTTTCTCGTAAGAAAGGATAGATTTTAAATGTCAATACCTGCTAAATGTAAATTTGCCAACTTTTAGCACTAGAAAATTTCAAAGCCACAAAACTCTTTAATTTGACTGTATTGCTCATATAAACATATTTGGACTCTCTAATAAGTACTGAATAAAAGAGATAGGAGCATTAGCAGTACTAACAGGCAAGTTTCTCCTCTTTGGAAAGGCTGTTCCAGGGGCCTTTCTCCTTCTGCTTCAGGCTCTTGTCTGCAGCACTGAGGGTGTCTTTGTATGGTCTGTCAGGCAGAGGAGTGTCCAGACGGTCCCAGTACAGGGGTACAGACATGTCCGTCTGTTCTGTCACCCCACCTGTGAGAACAAGAGGAAATTATCAATTGACTAATGAGAGAAAAATACAAATATGAAATGGAAAATGCAGGAACAACAACAAAAAAAAGTGTCATTTATATAAATATTGTTATAATGATGTAATGCTGCTCACTGGTCATCCTTGTTTACATAGTCAAAATATTTAATTTTATGCTGTTCTTTAAAATAACGTTTAACATTACCATGCTCATGACTGGCCATCTTGACACCGCTGGAGCTGAATGCAGCCACTCCCCGTCTGGACAAAAGCCCCGCTACACGTCCGGCTGTCAAGCGCAGCATCTGATCCACAAAAGAACAGAAAAACACACTCAAAACCTCTCAGAAAGAACACAATACCTGGCAGACTAAGGTGAAATACAGTCAAACCAAAATTCAACATTTCTCACATTATCACAGTTTATTTGCTATAAATTAAAATGGTAATAAAATATGGCAAGATCTCAAGAGTTAAACTGTGTCAGAACAAATTCATCTAGATAACGTCAGATAACTTTGATAGAAAGGTATGTAATGAATTAGGCTGAATAGCTGTCAGCTGTTACATTTAAGTACAAAATTAGATAATACCAATTTAGGTCAACCAATTACCAAACAATATTTAATTCTGTTCAGTCTGTGGTGTAAAAAGGTTGCGTTAGCAATTAAAGAAAAAACACTTAAGCAACACATGGTCAGGTCAAAGTTTTGGTCCCAAATGTTTATCAATTTTACTGGTAGTCCACTGTATGAAGAATTTTTGGGTATAATATGTCAGTTCACTTTATTTTGCTATCCTCACTTACATTTCTGAACTATAGTGTCCTCCACCCACTAGTAAAAAAAAATATATAAAAAATTATATCTGGTGTCTGAATAATTTTTGGTTTGACTATATAACGCAAATGGGGGTGTGACTACTTTTTTAACTTTTATGTGATCTACACTATGGAAACTGTTGCTGTTCCTAAAGCCAAGTTGAACGCCATCCTCTTAATGTAAGTACCTCAATATGCTTGTGTATTATGCATTCGGTTCTGGTGTTGTTTAGTACTAAATGATTACAAAGTAAAAAGGGAAAAACCTTGATTTGAGGATCCACTGTATGAAGAATTTTTGGGTATAATATGTCAGTTCACTTTATTTTGCTATCCTCACTTACATTTCTGAACTATAGTGTCCTCCACCCACTAGTAAAAAAAAATATATAAAAAATTATATCTGGTGTCTGAATAATTTTTGGTTTGACTATATAACGCAAATGGTGGTGTGACTACTTTTTTAACTTTTATGTGATCTACACTATGGAAACTGTTGCTGTTCCTAAAGCCAAGTTGAACGCCATCCTCTTAATGTAAGTACCTCAATATGCTTGTGTATTATGCATTCGGTTCTGGTGTTGTTTAGTACTAAATGATTACAAAGTAAAAAGGGAAAAACCTTGATTTGAGGTCTTTTTGCAATTTGACTATGCATGTATACTTTAAAGGTACATAACCCCCCTGATGCTTTAGTTCCTTCTTCTGTTCTGGATCAAATCCAAATCCCTGCTTGTTTAGTCTAGTCACATAATCATCTTTTGCTGTTAATTACAGTAAGTCTCCACCATCCACAGGTTGTGTCTATGATACAAAGATCTGGGAAATTTGGTGTTTTGTTGAACAAAACCCCATTAAAATATTTAATTATTTGTATTTTTTACAAAGAAAATTGGACATTTGCTGTCATAAAACATTCTTTACTTATCTGTGCAAAGCACTTCCTGCACCCTCCATGTGCAGCAAGAGAGAGACAAAAATACTGTTATTAAAATGGACGAAACTGGCAAAAGCCCAAACCAAGAGTTCACAATGACCCCTGTACACTCTCCAACAAATTAACAAAACATTTATAAAAGTGATTATTTACATATGGCTAGCTCTATACATTGATATTCTACTGTAAAGATACGGACAGTACGATCATGTACAACAGTAAGTACAAGCAAAGAAGTCATTATGTAAATGCATTAAACTCAAGTGTATGCTTATCAGTTTTGCAACACTGTTAAATGCTGACCAATTCATCCATTTCTCTCTAAGCATAAAGATTATGCTGGATCTCTTTCTCTTGCTGCAGAATTTTTAAACATTTCATCTTTGGAACTATCTGAAGTATTGTTTCAAATGTGCTTTTAAGTGCACAGATGCATTTTCTTTCCGTTTTTAGTCCATGCTTACTATCCTTCTCCCCCTGCTACTTCTAGAAAGTTCCCTCATCATACTCACAGCTTTCCTGAGAGACAAGATGATAAGGATGACAAAAATTACAAATAAGAAATTACTGGGAAAATAAATAAAAAAGTGCACACTTGCTTCGGTTTATGCGTATGTCCCTACTTGGGCTGTTGGCACTAACTGACCATGAAAACACAGGGGTGGGTGGAGAACGGAAGGAGAGAGAGAGAGAGCTAGTGGGAGGTATTGGCTTTAGTAGGGATTTTAAACTGTGAGAGACTGTGCAAGTAAACATATGAGATAACCATGTGACTTCACTGTTCACTGGGACGTCTGTGCTGAAGTTTAACTCTTCACATATCAAATGCTCAGTACTGGTTTTGCTGTTTATTTTTATGGCAGTTTTTCCCCTTCTTTTTCATATTTAGTTTTGATCCCATAAAGACTTGTTTTTGAATCCGCAGATCATTTTATTTATGATTACAGTTCTTGGAAGCAAACTTTCAGAGAACAGAGGAAATGGAAGTAGTCATAAAGAAGATGCCAGAAAAAAAAGGGAAAAAGAGGAGGGGGAGAAAGGCTTGGAGTTTATTTGGCTCATGTCCAGTCCTGATCTGGGTTTAGCCCAATGCAACCTGAACTAAAGTCTGCCTCAGAAGTCTGGCAGTGAGTCTGCATGTGGGAATATGTTTCACCGCTCAACCAGAAGTGAAAGACGGAGAAATATTGAGGAATTCTCAGTGTTAAGGGTCAAATAAGGACAAACCTGCTGTGAAATATTCCAGCTGCTCCAGCACAAAGTGTCAGATGTATCTAAAGAAAGATCAGACAATCATACATGGTTAAATCCTGTTTTTAAATGTAATTTCTTCGGATTCTCAGATCTCTCTGCTTTACTGTAACTAAGTGTTTTAGTGAGAAATTCTCAACAACAACTTCAGGTGTCATGCTCTTCTTTTTTATGAACAGCATATTTGTTGCCACACATTTGAATGATTTCATATCTCAGTGCCCTGAAGGAATGTTAAAAACAAGCCTCCAACAAATCTCTATCAACACCATCTTTCACATGCTGTTGAGTATCACAAAAAAACTTCAATTTATACAAAAGAGAAAAAATACTGTATACTAAGTATACTACAAGATTTAAAATAGTAAAATCATTTTCAACTCATGATCATTTAAAGTCCGTAAACATTGAGACTTATGATACACACTAGAAGGAAATGGACGTGATGAAAGTGCAATTTTAAATATGATCATTTAAACTGAATAAAAACCTATTTAATTAAATATCTGATTCCATATCATTGCTGTTTTTATATTATAAATGTAAATATAAACTTTCTTTTACTTTCTTTTTAAAAGAATATTAAAAAGAAGATTTATGTTATTTGAAGTAAAGGTAACAAAAAGTAACCAAAAGCTAGTTGCCAATGAAACATCTCTCATTTCCGTTAATAGTGTAACTTACTGTACTAAAATAACTAAAACTACAATGGAAATAAAATGAATAAAATTTACACACACACACACACATATATATATATATGTATATGTATATGTGTTAAAGTAATACAAATGACGAAACACAATAAAACTAAAACTTTAACTAAAATTAAAATGAAAACAAAAATGATAAAAAAATTAAAAACCCGTAAAAACCCTACAGTAAGTTGTTTTAACCTAAAATGTTGCTTTAACAGGGCCTGGCTTACTTGTCTACTTTTACTAGTCTACTTTCATGACCATTCTGTGTTAGATACAAGAACCTGAAGTGCAACCTTTACGCATTAACTCTGATGTACCCAGAATGACCTGCTCAGTACTTATCTCTTCCCATAAGCATTTGTGTATACAACTGAATTTGATCTGTTTTCATCAGCCATTCAATCATGCTGAAACAGGGCTACATGTGTAGATGAAAACACCTTCAGTTGTCACTGTCACTTTTTTTCTCAAACTAACAACAAAAAAATGCAGGACAAGTTGGGACAGTTTTCTTTGGATGCAACTCAAACTAAAGCTGTCACGCCAGCTGTAAACAAGGCCTAAAGTGGACTAAACAATCTAAACAAACTCTCACTGGTTGTGTATCAGTGAATAAATGAAAAAGAACAAGACATAAATGTCTTTTTGAAAAGCAACAGCAAGAGCTGAGCTCATTTGTGTGAATGTACAAACCTTCAGAAGCATCTAGGTGGCAGCAGTAAGCCTCACACGGTGCCAAAAACCGGTCTTCAATCATTCTTAGTTTATACAGGGGGCAGCAGTGAGTCTGACCGAGCAAATGTCTTAAAACGTGATAAAGACTGCACATTTCACAAGCTCGACCTTATGCAGGCCTACAAGTCAGGCTTTTGTTGGTGATGTGAATAGGAAGGCTTGCTTTGCTTTAAAACGGGAATAAAGGCCAGACTGGAAGTCTAATTCACCAAAGCCCTCTGGAATTCACAATGGGTTTTTAGAATAGTTATTTCTGTGAAAAATAAGGTCTGTGGTGAACTACTTAAAGAGACATTTTGTTCTATAACATAACACAATGTCAAATGTGAATTTTAAAACTGTTATACTGGTGCTGTTAGTGTTAAATTACTATGAAATGACTACACTGGTTTTCTGATTTGTCAAGCTAGCATATACTGACACTGATGTGGTAGTTACTTAGCAACTTACTTTTTTAATCATTGCAAAATTCACACTTGAGGTGTAACTGCCTAAAGTTAACGTCTCTTCAAGTAATGATAACGACAGACCTTATTTCACTCATAAATCAAAACTGCTGTTCTAAAAACCCATAGGAAATTCCTGTGGGAAATCCATGGCTGGAAAATGTTAACACTCTTCATGGTTTTATGACTGCAAACTGAACAGCTCTATATGATACCTCCATTTCATGAAAAGTTTTGTGTGTGTGTGTATAAAACTGCCACTTACCAAGTCCTAAACTCCTCTTTTGCTTTCCATTTAACAGTAATTATAAAACAGTTAATCATTTAACAACTTTTATAGTTTACTATTATATCTAACAGCACAAAAACCTATAAGCCTACAGCAAATGCTACATTTAGGTCATTATTTAGTGAAGTGAAAAACTCCAGATGATGCTTCTTTTCTCTATTACATTGTAATCTGTTTGAATGAGTGCTGGAGAGAGAATAAGAAAAATGGATTCTGTCTTACACAACTATTTGCTAACAAAGTACATTTCCTGTAAACTTTCATCTGAACTTTATAATATAAATGTATTTTCACGCTAGATGGATAATCAGTATTAAAGCAGCACCACAAATCTTCGGCATGATTATAGCCATCTGTGTTTGAAATATACAATTGCAAGCTTGCACAACAGTTTTGAATAATGGCTTATTTTTGTTTGTACACTAGCAACCAAAGATTTGGAATAATTAAGACTTTTTAATGTTTTTGAAAGTTACTTATTCTCACCAAGGCAGCAAAAATACGGTAAAACAGTAATATTGTGAAATATTATTATTATTAATACAATTTTAAATAATTGTTTTCTCTGAATATATTTTAAAATGTAATTTATTCCTCTGATGGCAAAGCTGAATTTTCAGTCTTCGGTGTCACATGATCCATTAGAGATCAATAGCTCAATAATGGAGTTTCATTCTTTTTTTTTTTACCGGAAGCATCTTCAGCTTTAATAAAACATTTATGTCTGATCTTTTTTTTTAGTTGAAAGCCTCACTATTTCAACATTAATCCACCCCTCTCTATCAGAGAACTGTGTTAGTGTATTAAGGTGGTGTCTGTCCCACTGCTTCTCGGGTGTTGACTGTGACACCAACAGCTGGCAGAACAAAGCGGAGGGCCAGATCGGGCACCACTGGCTGTGCTCCCTCAATTCCATCATGTCCCCTCCCACCAAGAGTGGCACGTGTCCCTGCCCACCCCCAACTAAACACAGCTTAAACTGAGCATACACAACCCCCTGCTTCTGTCGATACACCCATTGTTATCTCCTAGACCCCTTCCTCCAGCTCAGTCCTATTCTATGCTTACATTTTGCATTTTTTGCTAGAAGAAACTCATATGCCATTTGTCTTCGCCCTCCCCACTCCAGGCGTCTTGCTTTGTCTTGTCCCTTCACAAAGCCACAAAAAGCCAGAGATGAAGACAAGAAGAAATGACCCTCTTGACCGTTAGCTTGAAGTCAGTCTGGTCCCCAATAGTTTATCTGCAAACCATGAGACGCCCACTTCACTGCAAGCACACATGCATGTCAGTTATTTAATAAATCTAATGAGTATTCAAGAAACTGACACACACACATGCACACTGGTTTCCATGTTATATGGGGACATTAGGCGTAATGGTTTTTATACTGTACTGTATTTTTTAATCCCCTATCCCTAAACCTATCCTGCACATGAAACTGTCTGCTATTTTCAGTTTTCAAAAAAGATCATTCTGTATGATATATATAAGCTTGTTTCTTCATGGGACCCAAATGAATGAATGAATGAATTCAACAGCTCCTACAAGGTCAAAATTTACTGACATTATATCCTTGTGGGGACATTTGGTCCCTATAATGTAGGGAATACCAGGACCACACAGACACAATTAAACAGTTTGAAAAATGAATATTAATTAAATATATATTAATAAATTAATATATATATATATATATATATATATATATATATATATATATATATTATAATAAAAAAATAGATTTTTTAAATTTAATTTAAAGTACTTAACATTGCTTGAGGTTTGTGCAAGGGGTTTGATATAAAAATAATTTTGAACAAGTGAATCTGATTGCAAAATAAGCCTATTAACAAATAACAATATTTAAAAATAGCAAAATAAATACATGTAAAAAAAATAGGTTTTAACTACAGTACTTGTACTTGACATTAATTGACACACTTTACGGATAGTCAAAACAATCATTTGTAGCAGATATATATATATAACAACTTTTATAGTTTACTATTATATCTAACAGCACAAAAACCTATAAGCCTACAGCAAATGCTACATTTAGGTCATTATTTAGTGAAGTGAAAAACTCCAGATGATGCTTCTTTTCTCTATTACATTGTAATCTGTTTGAATGAGTGCTGGAGAGAGAATAAGAAAAATGGATTCTGTCTTACACAACTATTTGCTAACAAAGTACATTTCCTGTAAACTTTCATCTGAACTTTATAATATAAATGTATTTTCACGCTAGATGGATAATCAGTATTAAA